CTTAAACATAATTCTTTTCTGTATATGCTGGGGACTGAACCCAGGGCCTCACTTTATCATTAAGCTGCATCCAAAGCTCTCAAAGAAAAATGAGGAACTGACAGAGTCACATAGAATATAATGCTCCCTATGTAGTAAAAAGCACATCTTCTGAATTACAGCACGGAATATTTTCTGGATTATCACAAAAGAATTATTATCCTCAATGTGATTTTTATTATTAAATATATCCTTATTGATAATCCAGCTATCATGCTTTTTATTAATCAGAGTCCTCCAGTCTCTGGCCTCATGGAGAAACCACCTGCTCAGGATTTCCTCTGTCAGGATCTAAAGAGATGCCATCCATCATCAGATCCCCCAAAGCTAGTTCTTCTGTCTAAATGGGTCAGCTGATGTCACACCTTTAAATTGCTGGGACAACAGTGACATACAAACTAACACTTCATCTCAATAGCCTAATTCGATGGACACAAGATTGTCTGTCACTGTTGAAAGGAAAGATGGGATTGGGAGGAAGATGGTGGCTACAGAGACACTCCGGTGATCACCTCCTCACAGAGAAACTGACTTGACAGTTTTCCACACACCAAACTCCCTTCAGAAGAGCTCAGGAAGCTGGCGTTGGACAACATGATGCCTAATTTTAGCATAATGAATGAGAAAAGATGCAATGAAGGAGGCAGGAAGGAAAAAGTGGCCCATGTCTCTGCTTCTCCAACTTTATATACAGCACAGCAAGAAGAGAGATGCCTCCCCCTTGGGGACAGGGGTGGGTGGGACGGACACAGACTTGAGTCCGGGCCTTAGACTTGAAACCCAGCCACAGGCTCACTGTGGGGAAACCCAGTGGTAGCCTCAGGATTCCTGCTCTAGGCTAGTACCTGCAAACTGAGCCTCTGGCCCCTCCTCTGCCAGATGGCCACAGGGCTGCCTCCACCACCTTAGGTACAGAGAGGAGCAAGAAAGATTCTCCCCAGTGGGTAGGGCAGGAAAGTGAGCACAGGGTTGTGTCTTGAAACGGAGGGTTGGGCTGGTTGAAACCTAACACCTGGCAGATCCTAGCAGTCTCTGACCCCAGGTCATTGCCCACAGCCAGAGCCTCTGAGCCTACAACAGTGACAAGTGGAAAAAAGGCATCTGATAAAATTYAGCATTCCTTCATGATAAAAACAAAAGAGGAAGAAATGTACCTCAACATAATGCAGGCCATATATAATAAGCCAGCAGCTAACATCATACTTATAGGGAAAAGGCTTTCTCTCTAAGATCTGGAACAAGACCAGGATGCCCACTTTAACCAGTTTTGCTTAACATAGCATTGGATGTCCTAGTTAGAGCAATCGCATGAGACAAAGAAATGGAGGGCATCCAAATTGGATAGAAGTAGCCAAATTGTCATTGTTTCTATATGATTTTATATAGTCTACCCCAAAGATTTCTCCAAATAAGACTATTAGCGCTAATAAATGATTCAGTAAAGTTGCAGGATAAAAATTCAACATATGAAAATCAATAGCAATTGTAATACCTACAGAGAAAATTATTTAGGAATAAATTTAGCCCCCCCCAAAAGTGAAAAATCTCTACAATAAAAATTATAAAACACTGATGAAAGTATTTGAGGAGGATAAAAAGAAAATTTTGTGTTCATGATCTGGAAGAATCAATATTGTTAAAATGTTCATACTACCAAAGTGATCAATGCAATCTCTATCAACATAACATGCACTTTCTTCACAAAATAAGGGGGAAAAAAATCCCAAAATTTGTACGGAACCACAAAAAACTTCAAGTAGCCAAACCATCTTAAGCAAAAAGAACAATGCAACTACAGATCATCATATTAAGCAAAATAAGCCAAAGAAAGACAAGAACTGCATGTTTTCTCTCATATACAGAATCTGATGCGGGGGTTGGGGGAGAAAACATGAAAATAGAAGGGAGACTTCTATTTTCTATTAAAAAAAGAGGAAAGGGATCAGGGGGTGAGGTGAAGAGAGTAGGAAGGGCTACAGGGGGTGGAAATGATTCAAGTTATATGCATGCATGAACATACCATGATGAAACCTATTGTTCTGCATTGTCAACATGCACTAATAAACAGAAAAGAGAAGAAAAAAGCAGGAGGCATTACACAACCTGACTTCAAAATACCTTACAAAACTATAGTAATTAAAAACAACATGACATTGGCATAAAAACAGTCACATAGACCAATGGAACAGAACAGAGATCCTAGAAGTAAAACCACACATCTCCAGTCACCTGATCTTTGACAAATGTGCTAAGAACATGCATTGGAGAAGGGAATTTTTTCAATAAATAGTGTTGGGCAAACTGGGTAAACATATGCAGAGGAATGAAATTAGACCCCTACCTCTCATCAGTTCTAAARAAACAGACTAAAGACATAAATGTAAGACCTGTAACTATAAAACTAGAAGAAAACAGAGAAATACTTCAGGACATTGGAATGGGCAAGTCATTTTTGGATAAGACCCCAAAAGCACAGGAAACAAAAGCAAAGGTACACAAATAAGATTACAGTATACTAAAAAACTTTTGCACAGCAAAGGAAATAAGTAATAGAATGAAGAGACAACCTACCGAATGGGAAATATTTGTAAACTATACATCCGACAAATGGTTAATATTCAGGATATATAAGAAACTCAAATAATAGCAGAAAATCTCACATAATCCAATTAAAAAATGGGCAATAGACTTAAATAGGTATTTCTTAAAGGAAGACACACAAATGGCCAACAGATATATGAAAAAATTCTTAACTCACTAATAATCAAAGAAATGCAAATCAAAACCACATTGAAATACCGCCTCACTAGAATGTCAAGTGATATCCTTCTCTACACAGCTAAGATTATGAGTGAGTAGAAAAAACAATAGCAAGTGTCAGTAAGAATGTAAAGGAAAAACACACACTGGAGGAGGTGTAAATTAGCACCACCACTGAGGAAAACAGTGTGGAGGTTCCTCAAAAACAACAACAACAACAACAACAAMAAAAAACTTAACAACAGAACTATCTTATGGTTCAACAATCCCACGACTGGATATATATCCCAGGAAATAAAATCTCTGTGTTAAAGAGACATCTCTACTCTCATATTTACTGCACCAATATTCACAACGGCCAAGAAATGGAAACAACCTAGTGTCCATCAACTGATGATTGAATAAAGAAAATATGGTACATCTACACAATGGAATACTATTCAGCCATAAAATGGATGAAATCCTGTCATTTGAGACAACAAGCATAGAAGTGGAGATCACTGTGTTAAATAAAGTAAGCCAGGCACAGAAAGACAGGTACTGCATGATCTTATGCATGAGAGGGATCAAAAAAATTGGGTTCAATCCCCAGCACCGCACACACATACACAAAAGTTGTTCTCACAGAGGTTGACAGTAGAACAGTGATTCCCAAAGGCTTGAGGGAGTAGAGGAAAGGAAGTGATAAAAGAGATTGATAAATGGGTGCTGAGTTAGAGTGAGACAAGAGCAAAACGTTCTGGTGTGCTATTGCACAGCAGGTTGACTACAGAGAATGATAATGTGCTTCATATTTCAAAAAGATAGAAGAAAAGATTTTGAATGTTTCCAACATAAGGAAATGGTGTTATAAGAAGTGGATATATTTATCCTGCCTTGAACATTACAGAATGTAAACATGTACTGAAACATTAAACAACATGTACTGAAACATCAAAAACCCYATAAACAAGTACAACTTTTATATATCAGTTAAAAACAATTATAATGAAAAGAAGGAGTGGTACTAAAATGTAAGAGAAAACACAGATATCTTTCATTGTATAAAGGTAGGAAAATTAGCACTTTTTTTTTTGCAAAAGTACAAGAATTCATCTTTTTTATTTCTGATTTACCCACATGAATTAAAATAACTAACTAGGGTCTTCTATTGTATATTCTTGTTAATATACATTGAAAATTCTATGGATGTTAAAAATGCTACCTGACAAAGAAGTTAACTCTTCCACATTGAAAAGGGAAGGAAGAAAAAAAAGAAAGATGAAAGAACAGCTGATTAAGAACTGTTTGCAAATACTTAAAGTGTAAACAAATCCCTCTTTTCTACCTTGATGAAATTGGAAAACTAATTAAAGATGCGCTTTCCAAGCGAAGTATTACTGGGAGACTTCTTTTTTTTTTTTTTTTGTTTCCAAAGGGAAACTCAGAAAAGGTTAATAGACAAAGACCTTGACACAGAAACACTTATTATGTGGATAATGAATTATGCAACTTTTGTTTTTAAGAAATTTGTTATGCACTGATAAGTACAAGCCAAGCATGTAGCACGCATAAAGTTATATGGAATCTACGCATGACTATCAAATAATTGTTGTTAAATTTGTTTCTTCAAGATGGGTAGTTGCAACATGAATGTATTTTCCTCTCCTTGCAATAATATTCCATTTTAAATAGTAGACTGGTTCTTTAAAAAGGGTCTGAGAATTGAATCTTTCCTCTGTTGTTTCAGAGACGCTATTACTTTTACTTTGGTTAACTTTAAATGGACTCAGTTGTCCATTAAACCACTGGGTTTAAAAATAAGGAAGCATAATTTCTCCACCTGTGGCTCACACTTTTGAGTTAATCAAATTTAACCACAGCTGACATATACTCAAAGAACAGTGACACACCCCCCCCCGCCCCCCCCCAGGGACTTTGCAGCAAGTAGCTTGGAGCTCAAGCCWGCCCTGTTTCCAACAGCTTCTGCTGGCTCCTCACTCTCCTGCTTCAGACTCCTGAGCCAAGCCCTGGCCCATGAGTCAGAGCAGGGCTCCTGCTCCCTCCTGCTCTCATCGGCAGGCACCCTTCCTTCCACTGTTGTACACTGCAAAGGTCAACTCCCAAAATGATCACAAATTAATGGTTCACGTCCTGTAAACACACATCCGGGAGCCTGTGATGTAGCACAAAAGGCTGGGTTAGCTCACAGAGACACTTACAGCAAAATCACACCCAGTGCTCTTTTGTATGTCRTCCACTGTCAAGCCTTCCCAGAGCTCGATCAGAGTCAGCCCTTTCTTACTGTCCACGTCAAACACAGCCTGTGGGAGACAAGAAAATGACAATGACAATTCTCATCACCATAATTATTTTACAGTAYAAAACAAATAACCTCCCGAGTTTTTTAAAAGACAGACAAGATCTAGGACAAAAGACTCTGAGAATCAGCAATGAAAAAAATGTCAACTTTAAGCCTATAAATGAACGTCAACTCCCTAATCAGCAATTAGATGCAGAACACTATTGATGTCGAAGAAACAACTGTTTTGACTCTTGGTGGCATTTGTTAGTATTGTAACCCACCCAAGACTAACACTTTTGGTGAAATGATCTGAAGAAAGAAAAAAAATGAAGAAAGGGAAGGAGGGAGGCAGGGGATACCTGAATGGAAAAAGGACAGGGATGATTAAAAAAAAAATGTTGATAGATGGTGTTGGGTGAAGAATTACAGGAAACAAGATAGGGTATTCTGAAATGCCTAAGGGTATTCTGAAATGCCTAATGGTAGTATAAAAAAAAGAGTTATCCTGGCTATGAAAAACAAGAGAACCAGTCCATGTAACCATTAAACTATGAACTGTTAAAACGCTCCCTTTAAAATCTATGAAAATACTTACATCCCAAGAGGAGAGTATGAAAATCTCCTCCGGTATGCAAATATGATGCAAATCAAATGAAGACGCTATGCTCAGTGCAAGCATGAGGCACCAACCTCACCTTGAACATTTAGTTGCTACATTCTGGTCTAAAGTCCCAGGTGATGGTAGTGACAATTGCCACAGCCTAACCTTWGTGGAAAGGAAGGCATTCAATATGACCTTCCACCTCAGCATTCCTGTCTACTGATGGGAAGCTCTAAGCACAAGAACCGCTTCCCTGTGACCTTTTCCCCCTACTTCTGCAGCACTCCTCCAGTACATTAGGCACTGTTCCCTCTTTGAGTTCTCACGGTTAGCTTCCTCTTTCTCAGACTTGAATGTTATGCTTCCCAGATCTTTCTTCTACTCTGGACTTAATTAATTCAAACATTATTTGCAGGCTGAGAATCTTTATTTTCTTCTTTTTTCCGAGTCCAACTCTGAACTGTCATTTTTAACGCTCCTGGCTAGAAGGCTAATATCAGAACACACAAACATGTATAGGAAAGAATGTTGCTTTTAGAGCTGGATGAGAATTACAGCTCTGCTGCACGACAGCTGAGCACCTCTTGGTGAACCTGTCTTTGCATCTATAGGCATGTATCATGAAAAACACACTCCCCAAGACTGTGATGCAGTCAGATACAATAAGAAAACACACTCAAAGTACCAGGCCACAGACACAGCAGGGCCACGGTACAGCCATGTTCTTACTCCTAAGCAGCTTAACTCATCATTGCTGTGTGAACCCAAACTCTAAAATGATTACTATCTGCAGGTGATTGATATTTTCCCCTAGAAGCAAAACWTCCCAGGACCGGAGATGCTTGCCTTCCCTCTTTGCTTGATAACCTGAGAGATTATATTGAAAAAGGTAGTTTACTCTTAAGGGGAAATATTTTAGCAAATATTCCTTTTGTTTGCACATTTTTAAAATGCTCCTTAAAAAGAACTATTTTTTTTTAGTAGAAATGTGCATTGGTAATTTAGGAATTMCACATATTCCGTTAACTTACTTCATCTAAAATGACTTTTTTTTAATGGACATTCCCCTTTAGAGAAAATGTGTCTAGAGTCCTATTCAAAATTATTCACTTGAATTATGAAAAACTGTAAATTTATAAAAATGGAACAAATAAAAAAAAAAGGACCTCTGGATTATGTTATTACGAGCAAGCACAGAGCTGATTTAGACAGATTTAGGCACAGTGAATATAAGGTTTCAGTAATCAGGGRGATTAAACTTACAGCAAATTGACTCATTGCTTTAAAAAATTTTAGCATCTTTATCAACCCTTAATTATTTCCCATGATATATTAGAGAGCCAACCATCTATTATTTTTAAAAAGAGGGAAACTTACTTTAAAAATATTTAGGAAGATTTCCACTTAGTGCTATAAGCTATAAATAAAAACTTGATAAAAAATGAAGACTAAAGCCTAAAAATGACCATGAATTATTCTATTATCAAGAATAATTCTGGGCTGTGAGCTGTGGTGCATGCCAATAATCTCAGCTACTCGGGAGGTTGATGTAGGAGAATCACAAGTTCAAGCATGACCCCGTCTCTAAATAAAAAGGGTTGGGGATGTAGCTCAGTGCTAGAGCACCCCAGTATTCAATTCCCAATACTGATATAAAAAATACTGAATCAAGAAAGTGCCTCCTTTACAGTTGACTTATGGGAATTCCAACATCTCAACACCTGAAACTCAAATCTGGAACAGAAAGATGACTGCAATGCTTCGCTGATCTGAGCGTCTCTGGGTTGTACCAATGGCCAACGTTTTCCATTTAAGAAGAAAATTCTAGAGAGGCACTGAAATAGCTGGTGTGTTTTGAAGTCCCCCTATAAGAGAGGCAGAAAGCATTCAAGGAACAAATATAGTTCTTGGCTCAGTGTAGGGTCTATACTGTAACGTGCACCCAAATGATTAAAACTCAATTTTGACTGAGCTTCATAAAATGAAACCCAACGATTTGCACTAGGAAGTACCAAACCGGGAAGGCAAGGAAGTAAAGTAGGAGTGATGAATGTGCCCTTAACTCTGCATATATCATCCAGCTTGACATMTTAATAGTCAAAATGTAGGGATCAATAAAACTCCTCTGATGATATACTCTCAGTGACCAAGGATAGCAGTTCGATTTTGTGTGTATATATTTCCAGAGAGTTGCCCATGAAAAATTTTACAATTGGAAACATTAAATTGATGAATTTTGCTATTCATTTTACCCACAGACTCAATTAATCCTATGACTACTGATGTAATACACTTTCAGGAGGTAATAAAGAATTCTAAAAATGCTTCTAAATAAAAAAGGCTGTGGCGGATATTGGAGGGAATAAAAAGGACAAAGGCTCCCTACCTTCTCTGTAATGATGCGGTTGACACACTCTTTGCCAGTCAGGGGCAGCGTACATTTCTCCATGATTTTGTGGACATTTCCCTGTTTAAAAGAAAGAAAGAAACATCAGAACAAGAAGTTAGGGAGAAATTCTCATTTAGAACTGATGTGACCACGAGACATACAGGAACTATCAGAAAGACTGTCTCCTAGGCACAGGCTATCTTAAAATTTTTGCACAGGTAAGATTTGACTTCCTTTCTGGAAGCAGCATCTGTCCCTAAAATAATTTAGGGACGGTGCTACGTGAACAGTCAAAGGCATACATGATTTCTTTGGGAAAAAAACCCTGCCACAAATTTGGACTCTTGGACTCTTGGGTCTTCTGATGTGCAATCTCACTTCTAATATCCAGCTTATTTTTTCCTTCCAGGGAATGGTCTCTAGGAAAACATGTGAGCAGCTATCTGCCAAGTATAGAAAGCACACATAGAACATAAAAGCTAAGGTCCCTTTTAAAAATAATACATTTAATTTCATTCGTTAAAATGCAATACATACCCAGAAAACAGCAGGATCTTGTCTTTCTACCCAACAGGAATCCATTCCTTTTTCTTTTCTTTTCCCCTCATTTCCTCTATATTTCTATACGTTTTCTTCTTATATCCACATTTACAATTATGTTTACCTTGCTATTTGTGTCTTGACTAATTAATTTTATTTATTTATTTTTATTATTATGTGGTGCTAAGGATTGAACCTGGAGTTTTGTACATGGTAGACAAGTGCTCTATCACTGAACAACATCCCCAGTCCTTGGCTAATCAATTTTAAACATTACCTACTGATTTCTTACCATGGTAGAAAAGGACTTAATTCTCTTACAAATGCTACTCCCACCCCCTACTGTGCCCTCCATCACTTCAATTCTCCCATCTGAACATGTCACAATTTGTAGTTAACTCCATAGTCAAAATTTACATCATTCTGACCTATGACCATATAAAACTGATCACTGCTGGGCCACGTGGTACAGCATATTATGATTATAGTTACTTTTTTACACAGCTCTTTGCTCTTCCTGGAGTCTGTCTGAGCTTCTGTTTGCTCATTATTGAATGTGAGCTGGTCTAAATGCATGTTTTCCAACTTTCAATTAGCCACAGTACCCTTTCTTCACACATAAAACAAAAAGCAGGATTGAGAGTGGAAACCAGCTTTCTGACTTTCAGATAATTTTCTTCCGATTGTGATTAAGCTCCTTTTTAAGTATCAAGCACCAGGAACCTAAATTGCTACTTCCCTTGAGACTGAAGTCTAACTGGTCACACTCTGGATCTTCTCTTAAAAATGACAAATGCTTCTACTGCTCCCTTCTAGATATAAGCAAACCACATACCATGTCACCATTGTCTTTAGCCATCTCATTTTTAACCCACTGGAATACTTACCTGCTACCTAGTTTATATCTCCCCCGGAACTTGCATGAGACCAAGTATATGATCAGAGGCAATGAATTTCTGATAACTGTGTTAAATTAAGATTTTACTTCTTGAGGTAACCAGTTGATTCTGAAACAGCATTAATTTAAAGGTTTTGGTGTACCTTACTCAGTGTGAGGCATAGAAGGTATTCAATAGGTTTGGAGTGAATAAATGAATGAATGAATAGCAAAGGAAAGAGAAGTCTATTGGACATCTTGGATGGACTTTTAAAAATGGACAAACTCTATTAWCTTAATTCATTCAAAACTAGTGCTAAATACACATGAAATACACAGACATCATACAAGAAAATTTAGAGATAYAGAAAGAGAACCTTACTTTCAGTTCATTTCTAATTATCTATTTTCCTTTTGAGATTTCAAATCTGGCACATATCATGGAAGCTAAATTGAACAGATGATATTAATGATGAATATTCAAACTTCTACAGTTGTCAGGSCTTCTTACGTTTAATATAGCTCCAATAAGGCACGTCACAATGAATTCCAAGCTTGACTTCAAACAGGGTGAACAATCTGTAGGCCTCTGAAGAACATTTTCTGCAGGGAACTCTTAATATTGTTCTCATTATGTGAGCAAGGTCTACAGTACCCTTTCTTCACACACATCTGATGTGAAAGCAGCCACTTGGATTTTAATGAACAACCAATTTCATTTTAGGAAAAATCATGCTTTTCGACTGATAGCAKCAACTGTGTCCTATGATAGAGACCTTTTATAGATCATTTTCTGCATAAACAAAATGACACAGTGGTAAGAAGTATGTGCTAGAGCCAAAGGACCTGACCCTTTTCCACACTATCTGTGCAAGATCCCTGTGCCCATGCTTCCTCATCCACCTTTTTTCACATAGTTACTGACAGAATTAAGTGAAATTCAACTGTCTGGTAATTAGCAAGTACTCAATAAATGTTAGGTGGTATTGTTTATATACTTTATATTTAACATTTCTATACCTACCCAGGGAATTCAAGGTCCTTTGTGAAGTAATCTGACATAGAATTACACAKAAAATGGCCTAAACACAACTCCCGAGACCCACAAAACTAATTAAAACATGATTCATATTTGGAGGCAAACTGTAAAGCTTGCCTAGGAAAATGGCGTCAAGTATAATCTCATAGTTAGAACAATGTAGCTAGATGATTCCATTCACATTTAGCTCCAAGACATAGCAGAGATTAAGGGAAGAGAGAAAATGAGATGCAGAAAGATTTTAAAATGTCACAATTGCAATATTCAACAACAGATTAGCCATGAAGATAAAATACGGCTGACTCCCACTTTAGTACTCGGCTCTAACTTCGCGGGGCTGAGCCTTCCAGGGTGGTGTGGCAGCTGCATATATTAGTGATTCACAAAGAAGGAACAATTGCTGAGCTTATAGCGTTTAAAAATAAACCCTAATAAAGACAGGCAGTAGAGTGTGGCAACAAAGAACACTATATGAGGAACCCAAGGACCTAAACTTTGCCATTAGAAAGCCCGAAAGCCATTCTCTGCACTGTAGTGTTCTCTTGAAGTGCCTCATCCTCCTATGCAATCACTGTGGACATCAAATGGAATGTTCTGGAATGTATATAGCAAAATCCAGGGTTGTGGGGTCTTGTCCATCTTTATCTTTCCTCATTTTTCTTGCCTTCCTGTAGAAGAGATGTCAGAAAAGGCAGAGGAATGGCAAAGGACTGTTATGAGGGTTCCTCATTTTAGCCTGCTATTGTTCGTCGACTTCATCACAACCTTGATGAACACTTAAATCCATTTCTTCCATCTGCTTCCCTAGTTTCTTTCTTTCCCCTTCAATGGTTAGAGGCCTCATGTAAGACTTGTACTGACAGCATTTTAATTCTTTAGATGTCTGTATGAAATCCTAGACCTACATTCTACAGTAACGTACAACTCTGGTTAAGTGATAATAAATCCCCTTGCTATCATAACAAGGTCTAATGCTATCACAGAGAACTTGATCCCAGATAGCAAGCTCTCTTTTGTATAACAGAATGATYTTTGCATTTGATGTTAATGGTTCATTGACCTGAGGCAAGTATATAAGCTTTGTTTAAGATGTTGCTTTATATAAAAACTCATTTCACACTAATCATCTGTGTTAGGTACTTCCTAAATGTGKCTGCAATATATTTTTGTCTTTCAGGAACCGTCTTTAGGAAAGTCTTAATAATCAACTGCACAGAAGACACAAATTCCAGAAATCAGTTGTTCCTAAAAGAACTAAGCCTTTGTTAATGCTCACTGATACCTGGAACATGACCACCTCACGTCCCATCACCCCAGATTCATATGGTATCAACTTCCTATCTATCTTCAGGACTTGGTTCAGGTATTATCTTCTGTGAAGAATCTTCTCCAATATCTCCTATCTGCTGCCTGCACACCAGTGTCCCAAGGGCATCTCTGGTCTAGAGCATCCCTCTTGGGTGCTTCTGTGCCTCCTTCTCCCACTACCCGTGTTGAAACTGTTGGCATACAACCACCCTGCAACAGTTCTAGAGCTCCCGGAATGCTGAGACCATTCATCTTTGTATCTACAGCAATCAGTAGAGCTCTGGCAACACAGCGATCAATAAATTCCATCTGAACATTACATTTCTAATTCAAGGAACTCCTACAGAGTTAGAGCTATGAAATACCACAGGACTACATGCCTCCGGAGCACTAGAGGCTGCTTTCTAGTTTTTAGATAAGTACTTGTCCATTCCCAGCATCTCCAGGAGGAGCATGGCTGAGAGAAGCATGTGAAGAGGCTCACAAGACTTTAGGGAGACAGATGAAGTCATGATCAAGGGGAGAAGAAAAGATAATCCAGGACTGAAACAGGCAATATGCAAATTTAAAAGGGCAGATGAAAAAAGAATGAATTATCCTACCTCTTACACCTGTTCCTTTTTAGTCTTCAAGGTTTGCCATAATCTGCTAAAAAGAGGGGCTACAAGGGCTGAACCTGCTGAAACTTCGCCTACACATGGAAACCAAGGAAAGGCCTCTATTAGGACTCGCCAAAACATCACAAGAGAAGGCTGACAGTCCCCGTTTCTGGGCCTCTTCCTTCACTCCACTGATTTTTTTTTAAATACTTTTTTTAGTTGTACATGGACCCAATACCTTTATTTTATTTATTTATTTGTTTTTTATGTGGTGCTGAGGCGCAAATCCAGTGATTCATATGTGCGAGGCAATGCTCTACCAATGAGCCACAACTCCAGACTCTCTCCCCTAATCTTAATGCTCAAATCAAATGAATGTACTCGCAAATATAAAATATCAGGAAATATTGTATTAGAAAATCCATGACTGTCACCTCACTATGATGATTGACTGGTAACCAGAAGAGAGAAATGGAATTTGCTAAATAAAGAAGTCAAGGTAAACAGAATAAAAGGACAGAATGAAATGACTCATACTGAGTTCATCCTCATGGGATATTTTTGGCCTTTATACAGCACCTACTCAGTAGAGATTCTGGCAATCCACTGGGGACTTCGGTGGAGAGGTTCAGCTAACTGAGAGAACATTTGCAGTTACAAATGATCTTTATCGCTCATGCAATAACCGTTTGTGGTTACTGGGAATTCACAAGGG